ATAGAAGTTTTAATTTTTTTTGTTTGATGCTTAATATAGCAACTGCTGAAGGTAACTTTTTAATATGCTGAAAGAGCTCTCAACACTTGCTACAGTAACTGCAACTTAAGAAAAAAGTATTAAAACAATTAATACATGTAGAAGTAACTCATTATATTTATTTAGCTTGTATTGCAATATATCTTGTGTGTTATTTAAATCTCTTACATTCAAAATCAAATTCTGTTGCTAACTGATTTCATCTACATTTTTGTTGTAAACTTACACAAGTCTTGTAACTTTTTTCTAATTCATGTTTTTCGCAGATTTTTAAATCGGAATTAATATTTGGTACACTTATATAATTTGTGGTATATATATATTTATTGGTATACTTAATCTATTCGCGTAATAACTGTATCAATATTGTAGTGTTATAGAAGTAACATGTAAATTCCTCTACTGGGTTTTTTTTTATAATTTGCTAAGTGATGCACAATTCTATTTTTAGAGGCTTTTTTAAATTTTGTTTACAAATGATAAATTAACACAGGGTCATATTTATTTATTCTATTAAACTAAAAAAAATTCCATTTATAGCTGTTCATATTATTTCATGGTTTCCACAAAGTGGGAGATTATTAAATGCTAAGAATTGAATGACAAGTCTTTGAAATATCAATTTGAGTCGTTACATTTCCTTATTTATAAAAACTTTGCCATGTTCAATTTTTGTTATTTATTAGAATCATTTTAGGTATCTTTATATGTATAAAGTATTTACATGTAATACATTGTAAAAATAAAACTCATTTTCATCAAAGAACTGATCACCAATGAAATAAAATATTAATTTGAATTTTAAGTGTAGGTAGGCAAACTTGACGTAAATGTAATATATTTTATAGACAATTGTTACTTTTCATCTCTAATTGCTGGGGGGAAAATGAGAAAATTCATGCATAACATTTTTGATATATATAAATTCCCACCCGTGTGAAGAACGAGTATACCAGCTAATAGCATACTAGTACAAAGGAAAAAAAAAATATTAAGAACTTTATATAGTATTGATAAAGCAAACCACAAAATTACAGGATCATTTCAAATATCTTACACTGGTAAGCCACACTATAAAATATGCAATTCATGAAGTTGTAAAAAAAAATTTCATCAGAGGATTAAAATATATATGAAATACTTCCCTATCAACTCTTAATATTTTATGTACAAAATTATTTTAAAAAGCTTAACATTGTAAAACAGATACATCTATAAAATCCACAAATCATTAAGAAATATCCATAACTACAAGGGGTGAGCAGAAAAAAGGTTACAAGTCGAATAAAAAATATTTATTTACAATAGACAGAAAATACAAAAAGGGAATTAAGAGGCATAT